CTTGAAGAAATCGAATTACTCCACGAACCTCACATTTGGCGGGATTTTGAATCGACAAGGCCATTTTAGACACATACTGCGAGCACACCGTTGCCGTGACTGTGACCGGTGAACTCTGCCCTGTCATACGGTTCCTAACTCACACGGCAGCACTGACATTTCTGAAAAAAATTTCCATTGCATTTTTACTGGACTTGCATCTTTACTTTCCGGATATATCTCATACAAACGACGCGCTAAACTTCCATCGTGACACCCGAGTCACTGCCACCTTGGTTGCTAGGCTGCTGCTGTTGAAAATTACGCAAAAACTTTCTAGGTGGAAGCATGACGTGCGCATGAGCAGAATGTGTGTTGATTCTGGAATATTACTGCGTATCGAAACTGTTTGTTACTGTTCGTGAAGCGTTAAGCAAATCGCAACTCGAGTATGACAACAGACCGAATGTTAACAATGTTAAAAAGAAATGTTTACGATACAGTATCTTTTGACTCAATTTGTTTCTGTGTTGGAAAGGAGCTAAAGAAAGAATTTCTGGAACCAGAATGGTGGAGTAGTTGCTCACACTACTAACACAACACCTGCTTTACTGCAAGAATTCGTGATCGGATTATTGAGCGTGGTCTTCAGCCACCCCTACCTCAGGACCTCACACCACCCGAATTCTTTCTATAAGGATTTCTGAAAAAGAAATAATCTATTCGGATAAACCACGAAACATGGAGTAGATGAAAGACTATTAAGCAGACTATTTCCGGTATTGAGCCGAAAACACTTCGCAACGCCCCACGAAACACACTTTCACGGATGCACGCGTGTGGCATTTATTAATCTGAAGTAAACAACGTTCGTTTCTAGGCAACGGCTCGGTAAGCACGTACCCGCGGCAATGGATACGTATGCAACAGTAGAGGTATTGTTAGAAACGGGGTTTTCTACGTTGGTCCGTGTCGGGAAGTTAAGAGGAAGACAATCTGAGTGACCCCGTGAGTTCTGTACTGGAGTCTGTGAACAAAATGGACAGTGACAGTTAGTTAAGGTGTCAGTTGAAAGTCAGCCTGTGAAGAAAAGACTGTGAGGTTGGTGTAAAATGGCAGCCAGCCTGACAGTTAGTCAGTTGTAACAGAGAGCGTTGGAAGGGATCCGCCGTTCAGAGAGGACTGGATCCCGGAAGCAGAAGACTAGCCATTGTTAGAAGCCGTTACCAGGCAACTATTACTGGAAAAGTCTTAGTGTATGCTCTCGTGAATTTTAAAGTGTTAAAATTAGCGATGACGCTATAATTAAGTGTAATTACGAGTTGTTAGTCTAAGTGGTTAATAAATCATATATAATACCCAAAACCCCATCGAGAGTCACTCCTTCGCGTGATAGTATGCTTCTGGAAATAATAAAAAAAAATTTAAAAGTAACTCGTCTGGTTTGTTTTGCCGATCTTATCGTTAAGGTTGCATACACTGTGTGTAGTCTATTATTTTTTATTGCTAGTGGGGTGGGACTAAGTCCCTTGTACTGCGGCCACTTCTGGCCTATTGTACCAACCCCAGATGATAGGTGAGGGTGACTGTGGAGCAATTGGTGGAATGAAGATTGGCAGGGGAAACCGAAATACTAGGAGAAAACCTGCCCCAGCGCCACTATGTCCACCACAAAATCCCACTTGACCAGACCCGGGATCGAACCCGGGCCGCCGCGGTGGGAAGCCAGCGACTAACCGCTTGAACTATGGCGCAGCCTCCCGTGTAGTCTATGTTGCGTTTTAAATGGTATTTACCTAATCTTATTAGGTATTATTAGGTATTTTATTAGGTATTAGGTATTATACCTAATGTTATTTACCTAATATTCGAATGTAGCAGAATTTTAGAATTCCTTGAAAGAGTGTATATAAGCGAATACTAAATATAAACCTGAGCTTAATGGTAAAGTCGGATTGTTGTCCTTTAACGTACATAATTGTCCACTCATAACGGATTACAACTTCATTTCTTTTCTGTCTTATTTTGTCATGGTTTTTCGTCTTTTATCGATCAATCAAAGAGCTTGCCTTTTCGTACATTATATTTAAATTCACCGGGGTATAATTTCGGTAAACTTCCATATTGCTATTGTTAAGTGCAATTTATTTTTCATCTCACATTTTCTATTTCTGCTTTATCTGAAGTTTGAGAGACTTGAGTGCTCTTTATGAGCTTATTATAACAGCGTAAGGACTGATAATGTATTTCATATTGTATTTCATTTAGTCTTAAAGCCATTCTTCTGGCTTACGTACTCTGAAAATTACGTACTTATGAAAGCGATAAAAAATTCTACTCAGTTTATGCTTAATGAGTAGCAGAATGCGACTTTTATTTTAGTATTCCTGAAGAGATATTATCCAGCAATATGGATCGAATATAATATAATATTATATTATATTATATAATATTACACCTGACGGTGGCCGGTTAGGCCGAAACATGTAAAGGTAAACCTATCCTCGTAAGATGCCATGAAGGCCTATAGCGTTGTGAGATGTTTAGGTTTCCACATTTTCTAGACAGTCGACTCACAGATGTCGGTGAGGTTGTCAGCCTTATGCGCCGGCCGTCATTTACCCCCCCCCCAGGGAGACTCCTGATACTAATTTCTGTTAGAGGCTGAGTCGACCACAGGGCCATAGTGCGGCTGGAAGGATTAGGTCAATTGAAGAAACCAATGACCTCATAGTGGATATCGAACCCGCGACTTTAAGGCTTGTAACACAGTGCCTCAACCAACTACGCTACGGAGTGCCCCTAGGCCGAAACCTGAATTGTCAAAAAAAAAAAAGAAAAGAAAAGAAAACGACGCGCGAATAGGAACTGACGTTTCACATAGACGGCATAAAGCGGAACGCAAAGTCAGATGGACCGAACGGGCTGACGCAGTGGCAAGGATCCAGACCTGTATTCCGGAGTTGGTCTGTTCGAATCTCTACAGGGACACGGGATATTCTGCGGCTTTTGGTAGTTTTCCTTCCAGGCAAACGTCGGGATAATACGCAGTATAGTCATTAATTTCGTGGACGGTGGTTTTATCGCATCATTAGTACAAGGTATTCACATACACTTACACAGATCCACATCGGCCCTCAAAATAGTTGCCGTTGGCCGCTGTGCAAGTCTGCCAACATTGATATAGCTGCCGAAAATATTGCTGAAACATATTGGCAGGAAATTCCCGTACGGCGTCTCTTGTGGTAATGACCACCTCCTCGGACGACTGAAATCTACGACCACGTAGCTTTGCTTTCAAGTGGAGAAAGAGAAAGAAATCGCAGGGTGCGAGATCAGGTGTGTACGGAGGGTGTGGCCAAACGGTGACCTGTTGCCTTGCCAGTTCCTCTTGGACAAGAACAGAGCGATGTGCAGGGGCGTTGTCGTGTAGCAACAGCCAATTCTTCCTACGCCAAATGTTTCACTAGGGGATTTGCCTAGTTTCTGGCAGAACTTGATGTTTGTCCGTTGTTCAACGTGCTACATTTTAGGTTTCCGCCACTCGCATTTAACTGCAATACACAACAGAGACCGTAGTTCTGCTTACACTGTTTGCACACAACTGCCTCTTGCTGTGACGAGAGATGAACTAACAAGGCATCATCTAGTGCCTCAACCTATCCGCTGTAATGCACCACAATGACGCTTTGCGACCAGTCAACGAAATTATTGACAGTGGTAGTATTCTGATTCGACCACAGTAAAAAATCCTTTCGAATTCGTCGATCATTAACGACATCTTCCGATACTATTTAACCTCGATAATATCAGCGTCGTTAAGTATCAACCCTGTAAGACTAATGAGGAAATTCGCTTACGGTACATGATTTTGGCGTCTCTACTAATGCTATTACACGTTAAATATTGTGACATGTTGCCCGAAATCAGGAATACTTAAGTCAGAATACACGTTCATTGCTAGGTAACGACTCCGTAAACATATTCCCGCGGCAACGAATACGCAAGCAACAATCGAGTAACTTCTGTTGTTATACAACGGCGTTGTAAACACACTTTCCCAACTGTGTTTACTGCGTGGTTCGTGCAAAGTGGTTATAAAGAAGAGCCCACTTGAGAAGGGGTAGCCGAGTTTCGGGACGCTAGCTTGCCGGGATATGAGCTTGGGAGCAGAGAAGTAAAACTGCCAGAGTCGGCAAACCAAGGCGTTTCAGAAGAAATGGAAAGAAAGGAATTATACTGTGCAAAGGCAATTTCATGTGTAATTTGAAGTTACAATGAGGCTGTTATAAAACCGTTGCCAGGATACGACTAGTGAAGACTGAGAACTATACTGTGTCCAGCAGTGAACTGTAAAGTGTGTAGAATAGCGACAGCGCTGTATTGCCTGTAGTCCCGAGTTGGGTGTATAAGGTGTCATTAAATCTAATGATAGAATCCAAAACCCGTCTTATAAGTCACGCAAAAACTATAAATCTCGATAATATATATGTGAAATTGGAATTAAGACTATAATTTAACTGCACTTTGGGTTCGAGTGATTGGCAATCCTTCACGTTCCGGAAGTTGTTAGTGAGATTCTCGTCCTGTGACCGGATGTTTGAGAGAAACTCTACCGGCACGTCCGACACTCTTCAGAATGTAATACGAAAACAACTGTTTCAACTTTTCATAAAGTTGTCTCCTGTGTGTGTAACTTTTTTTATTGCTAGTGGGGCGGGACTAATATTTTATAAAGCTAGTGGGGTGGGACTAAGTCCCTTGTACTGCGGCCACTTCTGGCCTATTGTACAAGCCCCAGATGATAGGTGAGAGTGATTGTGGAGCAATTGGTGGAATAAAGATTGGCAGGGGAAACCGAAGTACTCGGAGAAAACCTGCCGTAGCGCCACTTTGTCCACCACAAATCCCACTTTACCAGACCCGGGATCGAACCCGGACCGCCGCTGTGGAAAGCCAGCGACTAACCGCTTGAGCTATGGCGCGGCCCTAGACTTCAGATTAACTTAGGTTTGGATTATGGAGGTTCCACTTCATTCCACAAATTCTTCCGCAGGTTTCATTAAACCCCGATTTTGGAGTCTCTCACTATTTCCATTTCCATGCAACCCTCTCCCAACATCGTGTATTACACTATGGATCACATTCTTCCCAATCTTTGCAGGCAATAACTATCCCACACTCATACGTCTCGTCCAGAGCAGAGGAGCAGAAGAAGATAATCATTCATAGATGGTAAGTGTTCCGTCTATGATGCAACCTTATATAAAATACACTAAAAGTGTTTGTTAAATATTTTAAAATGTCATTAAATTTATACATTCATTCCTTGCAGCAAGGAATTTAATACATTGTGACGTGCCGCCAGGAAGGCCGGACGATAAGACGTCCATCACTGGTCAACGGCTAGTAATTCCTAGGCAGCGATACCTCGAAAATCGTTGCCCTGGAGATGAAAGTCTAACAATGGGGTTTCCATTATTATCTGTAACGAAATGTATTCCCGTGGCAACAAGAGATTCGTTGCATAGCAGCAGGCGAAATGAACCGTTCGACAAGGTATTCCCTATTCAGTCCGAGTGCAGGATATAACAGTTCGTATTGGGCAAGAGACCAGCAGAGAGGGCGGCGCCCCACAAAAACAAGACCGTAACTGTGAAACAGTAAGAAACATCTGGTCATGAGTCCCAGCTATCGCGCGACACCAAGACTCGACAGACTGACCGACCATCAGTCGCAATGTGACTGTGACTTTGAGACCAGTAAGTTCGTATAAGGACAGTTGAGGTCCGAGCAGAGCAGAAGACACTTCACCGAGATTAGCGGTGCGAGTGTGTAACACGGAAGAAGGAAGGCCTGAAGACGTAAGTGCGAATCATTGTATTTGTGAGTGTAAAGACTGTTCGTCCAATGAATATTCATCCAAATCCGAGACCCACGTAAATTTCTTGTCGCGTTGCCTAGGAAACACGCGACACTATATTTTAGTGTCTTTATATGAGGTTACTGTTGCATTACAGACGGTATACTTACGACCTAAGAATGACGCAACAATGCAACAGGATGCTGAAACATAATAATAATAAGAAGCGAACGCTACTTGAACGTATAGGAATACGAGTTTCTCCTGACGTACAAGAAGCCGGAAGAGCTCAGTTCGTAAACTAGCCACGGGCTGGACAGCTGGAGTTCGATTCCCAGCTAGGGTAATTTTTTTCTCTTCCTTGTAGCGTCCAGCCCGGCTATTTGGCTCACCCAGCCTATTCAAGGGTACCGGAGCCTGTTTTCATGGGATTAAAGCGGCCGGGGCTTGAAACCAATTACTTTATATTACATCCAGTGCCGAAGTCATGAATGGTGGAGCTATACCTCCATTCCCCCATATGTCTTCATAGCGTTGTGATGATTAAATAAGCACATATACAAGTTTGTCTCTACTTCTCATCCCGGTGTTCTCTAGATGCTTCAACCCAGATTTGAATTTTGCAGTGGGCTTTAATGCTCTCACTTTCATCTCTTTCAAGCCTTGTATAATTGGCTTGTCCCACACTGAAGGAGCCCTCGCAGGTTCTCTGGAGAGGCTCCTTTTTCCAAGGCTCTAATTTATTGGTTTAGCGTCGTTACTAGCGTCAGCTTAAAGACTTAACGCCAGGATGCCTGCCGCTGGCTCCCTAGGGATCTTGGGATCGACAAAACTAGTTTAAATATTGACACATTCGAAGATCACGAGACATTAAAAGCACAGCTTATGTAGGGGAATTCCCAAATGTCATATGACGTATTGAGCAGGATATAGAAATACAGACCGAGTTTCTGGTGCAAGAAATGTCTTGGGAATTACAGGTATAAAGAACTGGTGACATTATATTTCAAGTGTGTATTAGGAAATGAGGAACATTTTGGTTAGACATAAATGCATATCCTGAAGTGTCTGCTGTCTTATATAATTTTAATTTTTTACTGACTGATCATCTGTCTAACCGATCGACCGACCAACCAACTAATTAACTATATGACCAACGGACGATATAATTAAATAACAAGCTAACTAACCAAAAACCGACCAATCGACGAACTAACGAAACAACCAACTAGCTATCCAACCAACGAACCAACTAACTTTTCTACTGAGTAATTACCTGAATAACTAAGCACCTGCATAGACACCTAATTAAACCGTCAATTAACTACGTGAACACAGTTCTTGTGAAGCTAATACATTTTTTTTTCAAACAGAAAATTTCACAGAATTTTATGGAATCCAGTGGGTAATCACTGTTTTCGCAATCTCCCGCCATTTCGCCCTATTCTGATAGAGATTAATCCAGTCCCCGCCCTCCAAAACTGTTACGTCAACATCCATTTTAATATTATCATCTCCTATAGATTTTACATGTGGCATCTTTCATTCAGGTTTTCTTACCAAAACTGTTGTCACATTTCTCTTAACTCTCACGTGTGCTAGGTAGCACTAGCACTAGCTAGATAGTGTTGGAAACTTCTTCACAGTGAGCACTGTACAAAATCTAATGCCACACAACACAGACTGAGCCTTTAGTACACTGTTACCCTCACCCCGTTACTGTGTCTGCGCCATGTTGTGTAATTCTGGCATCTCTCCACTTCCCGCCCTCTCAGTATGCACTCAACTAATGGACTTCGGAAGCTCAGATCCTGTCATCGTCCTTTGTACAACACCTCATCTCTGTCTGTCCGTCCACTCATCCGTAATGAAAACGTGGTTCGGGCGCGCGTCGAAACACCCGCATAGCGACGCGACAGACTGCGATTATACGCGTTTAAATTTGTCACGAGGAGGGGGATTATTAAGTCAGGTTCCGTGAGCCAGCCACTCAGACACTTACCCCCCACCCGCTATTCTCCTGCAGTCTCCCGCTGAAGTCCATCCGCCATCTCAACATCTCATGGACTCCGAAGGTTCATTATTCTGTTCAGAAGAGCATACTGAGACAGATGAATCAAGTCCACATCTCCCCACCCCAAAAGTAAGGATTCATTAGCTTCCCCTCTACTCTTAGTTCTTCCAAGTTCCTGCGATGCTCAGATTTCCCATGTAAAGTTTCCTATTCACGTCCCGTTTCTCCCATGCGTTCTACATTCCCAGTTCACTGCGTCCATGTCCACTTGGTTTTCTTTTTAATAACTGGAGAAGAGACGTGGTATACGATATATCGAGAAAAAATATTTTCTCCATGTTCGATTATCATATAAAAAAGTAAAGCTATCCCTGTAACAGGCCGTGAAGGCCCACTGGGTTGTGAGACGTTGAGGGTCCCACATTATTTAGACAATCGGCTCAAAGATGGTAGTCATGTTGTCAGCCTTACGCGCCGGCCACGCTTTACTCCCCAGGAAAATTATTTAATTAATTCCTGGCACTCATTTCTGTTAGAGGCTGAGTCGATCTCAGGGCCATAGTGCGGCTGGAGAGATTAGGTCAATTGAAAAAAAATCCAATAGGTCATTGGATTTTTTTTCAAGTGCGGCTGGAGAGATTAGGTCAATTGAAAAAAATTCCGATAGGTCATTGGATTTTTTTTCAATTGACCTAATCTCTCCAGCCGCACTATGGCCCTGAGATCGACTCAGCCTCTAACAGAAATGAGTGCCAGGAATTAATTAAATAATTTTCCTGGGGAGTAAAGCGTGGCCGGCGCGTAAGGCTGACAACATGACTACCATCTTTGAGCCGATTGTCTAAATAATGTGGGACCCTCAACGTCTCACAACCCAGTGGGCCTTCACGGCCTGTTACAGGGATAGCTTTACTTTTTTATATGATAATCGAACATGGAGAAAATATTTTTTCTCGATATATCGTATACCACGTCTCTTCTCCAGTTATTAAAAAGAAAACCAAGTGGACATGGACGCAGTGAACTGGGAATGTAGAACGCATGGGAGAAACGGGACGTGAATAGGAAACTTTACATGGGAAATCTGAGCATCGCAGGAACTTGGAAGAACTAAGAGTAGAGGGGAAGCTAATGAATCCTTACTTTTGGGGTGGGGAGATGTGGACTTGATTCATCTGTCTCAGTATGCTCTTCTGAACAGAATAATGAACCTTCGGAGTCCATGAGATGTTGAGATGGCGGATGGACTTCAGCGGGAGACTGCAGGAGAATAGCGGGTGGGGGGTAAGTGTCTGAGTGGCTGGCTCACGGAACCTGACTTAATAATCCCCCTCCTCGTGACAAATTTAAACGCGTATAACCGGCGACTGTCGCGCCGCCATGCGGGGGCTGCCG